GGCACGTGTGGTTTGTTTGTATCCGCGGGTGGAAATCTCGCAAAATCTCGCACTTCCGCTTTCCAGCCCTATTGGAACAATCACCATCAATCAACTGTTACCATGACAACGGACAAACAAACTGGAGAATCTTTTTTAATGCAAATTTCTTGACACTTTTTTTTTGGTCGGCACTAGATCATATACGGAATCGGAACGAAACCGGAAGTAACAATCCTACTTTCAAATTAATTTTAGACTAATTTGTCCTTAAATGGTGACTGGTTAAGTTTTAGGCGTCTGAGTAAGATGGTTAAGTTTAGGGTTAAGGGTGGGTTGGGGTTATTTTATGGGAATGGCTGGTTAAGTTTAGGCATTAATAGGTAGTTTGTTATTTTTACTTCCGCTTCCGTCCCGATTCCGTATATGATCTAGTGCTAACCCTTTTTTTTTTGGCCGTTCTTTCCAGTTGCCATGGCAGTTGGCCATGACCCTAGTGATTGCTATAGTAACGGTTGCCATGGTGTCAGTCGCCATAATGATTGCAATAGCAACAGTTGCCACGGTGACTATTGCCACTATTGCTAATGTGATGGTTTCCATGGCATGACAATCCCTATGGCAACTGTTGCTATGACAATCCCTATGGCAACTGTTACCATGACAACAAACAGACAATCTGGTTTATTTCTTGCAGCTTTGTTTCCAAACATGTTTCTCATTAGATTTGTAATTCAGTAAATATTAAGAATTATAATGTTTTACTGTGTATTACACTCTTTAAGTTGTTGTCGATTCAACCACTTCACAAAACATTCTGAGATCCGGAGTCTCCTGAGCGGATCCCGTCAGTGGACCTCAGGGTCATATAGTTTAGTTTGGATCTGATCTAAACCAAACCTTTTGAGAGAAACCTTTGGAACACTTTGGTTCAACTGTTTTCATTTGATTCGAGCTGTTCTGAACTCTGACTTTGGGTGTGATTTATTGAAGGTGAAGTTGGCTGAATGATGAAATACCAAATACTTTAGCACCATACCCAGACACATGTGTAACTTAACACAAATACAATCATTTAAATTCAATGACGCTCTTTACAGCACAGCTGTGTTTGCAGCCGGTCATTTTCTAATTTGGAAAACAGCTACAGGCAGAAAGCAATTTTACCCTTCAACATTGTTTCAACATATATATACAATTAATTAATATTTCACATTCTAAAACATGAAATGACAAAATAAATAGTCTCGTTTATAAATTCTATTGTCCAAAAACAGTGCATAATATTTCTTCTTTTCGTAGAAAACTTTTGATTAAAGACATTTTCTGCATTATCAGAACATAACTGCCTTGGTTTGATGGAGTCAATAGGACTCCCTGTGGTCCCTGTGGTCCCCAAACCAGACTCCCTCTGGTCCCTGTGGTCCCCAAACCAGACTCCCTCTGGTCCCTGTGGTCCCCAAACCAGACTCCCTTTGGTCCTTGTGGTCCCCAAACCAGACTCCCTTTGGTTCCTGTGGTCCCCAAACCAGACTCCCTCTGGTCCCTGTGGTCCCCAAACCAGACTCCCTCTGGTCCCTGTGGTGACTTTAAAAACATAACACATGATGTGTTTCTTGTTGCTGTTGTTTCAAAGTAATGAGTTACAACAATATTACTGTCTCTGTAAAGTATTACACTACTGCAATACTTTGAAGTTACTTTCCCCAAATATATAAACACAAACTATATGTATGATGCTGTAGTGTGAGGTTGATAGAGGTTGATTGATAAAAACAGGTCTTGGGCTGAGAGCTGATTGGCTGGGTGAGGGTGGTCCTCTGGTTGATCTGAAGATGGGGCCGAGTGAAACTAGTGATAGAATCTGTTTTTAGACCGAGAAACTAGTGACATGGATTAGTTTTTTTTTTTTTGGTTGTAAATGTAGGTCCCCCAGCTTTAAATACTACCCACCTCTACCACCAGGGGGCACAAGGCATCCTCCTAGACATTGGACCCAAACCCTCCACATCTCTTTTTTTTTTTTTTTTTTTTTTTATTACATGACAAAAACAGAAACAAAGATATTTACAATATATACAGAAATTGATGACATTCATGATAAAGAGAAAGGAAGTGAGGTATTATATAAAATTAAATGACTTTATAGAGAGGTTAGATTGAAAGAAAGGGCGCTAAAGGGAGACGATCATCTAGAGTTGATGTGTTATGGGTTCTAATAATTTGACTGTGGAGTTGGTTTTTTTGCTGTTTATTAGGGTTATAGACTTAATGTAGCTCTTGATTTCGAGAGTGACTGCTTGGGAGGATGGATTGGTTTTACTGTATTTGCATCTATGTATGTGCTGTTTGCCAAATAAAATGAATATGTTGGTGATTCTTTCGATTTTATTGTTTTGGTGAGAAAAGTGGGTGATAATGTTTCTGTCACAGATAGTTATGGAGATATTTAGTCTTTGGGAGAGGTATTGACTGATCTCTTTCAAGAAAAGCGTGATGAGTGGGCATGAGTAGAATAAGT